TATTGCGGAGCTACTCAGCACTCCCCCCCATTTGGAGCGTCCAGAAGTTTTTTGGTTTGTTTCTGAATGATGCTTGATGATCTGAAGCTCTAGCATTTAAAGTTCCGGGCCAGGTCCAGACCAATCGCTTTCGTATCAAACCGCCCATGCATGGTCGCTAAGCAATGATTTCTGTAAGCAGGTCCAGCCGGCCTGAGCCTCAACAGAATATTTTTGGGGGGTGCCTTTCTGGGCTGCCCGGGGCAACCCGTTCTGCTATTGAATGAAGTCTAGAAGGCTACTGAGCTTTGCCAGGAGGCTTGTTGCTTCTAATTCGAGCCTACCTACGGATCAGATGTGTATCGGGGGATCCGAAGCCATGGACATCAGAATCTAGGAGCACAGACTGATGAAGTTGTAATCAAATTTTGGCGCTTTTCGTACAACCTTCAAGCTCCTGTACAGAAACGCCTGTATCATTCGATTTAGTGCGAAACGATGCGTGACAACAGTACAAGACACTGATGGCGACGAGACGTGCTGAATACTTGCCATACTCCTGACTCTGGAGGATCATGCAAAACAATCCGCTCGGCGTACAGCAATGCAAGCATTTTTCTTCAACTAGCACAACTGTGACTGACGGAAGATTGTACTGCGGAAGTCCAACTGGCAATCATGGATGCGGGAAGTGGCAGAGCCCGCGGGTCTAAAAAATCTGCCATGCAAGTATACTGTGTCATCTGCCCATCCGAAATAGAAGCAGTACATGGCAAGCACAGGCCGAGGCATAGCACTTCTAAGCAGGCAGCTTGCAGCTGAGTAGGACAGGCGGACAGGTGCCGTTTCAACACACCTGCACAAACACCCACACCCTGCTACCTAGAGATGATTGGATTCGTCCCACGAGCTGCCAACTGCTTGTGGCAGTAGACATGCTCCAGCGAGAGTGTCCGGTAAGCGCAAGCACAACTGTCATTATCTATAGGCGACCTCTTGAAGGGACACCTGCGCCTGGCCTCAATCAAGTCACTTGTTTTTTTTGTTGTTGTTTTTCTCGGTCGTGACAGTTACAGGACAGTTTTGGGCTTTTATTTGCAGTCTCTCCAGCCTTCATGAAGCTTGGGGGTATTTGACTAGACCGCCTGGCCAGGGTCAAGGCCCATTTAGCTGAGGCTGATCAACTCAGAGCCATACCAAGCTGTTTTGGTGAGCCCTGCCGTCCCTTACCCCGCAGCAAAGCCAACACCCTGGCACTTCTTTAGCCTAGCAGTTCCTTGCCTCAAGGCAATGCTTCTTGGTGACCATTCTGCCTTAGTTGGCTGTGCAGATTCATGGGTATTTCCTAAAGTACCTAAGCAAGTTGAACGTTCTGGCCGTAATGTTGAAGATGTGAAAGGCTAGGATGGTTCAGTTCAGCAGGCACAGGATTGCCCACAGCGCTGAGAAGCGGGTTACGGCTCAGGCCACACTGCTTGGATTCATGACGTCATGGCATAAAGCATGCGAGAACGGTGTAGCACTCGAGACTTTGTGGATTGCGCTTGTTACGTTCGAGACCGAAGCGGTAGCGCTGAAGCTTCTGGAGCTCGAAGGGCGTAATGTTCTACCCGGATGATACGAATTCACAAGCCTACGCAGGCGGATCTAACTATTCCCCATGCAGCAAGGCGGATTATGGCGCGTTGCTTGCTTGATCCAGAAACCTTCTGGGCATCTAAAGCCTGGACACTGCAAGACCCGAACCTGAACTCACAACCCTGAGTTGTAGGCCAGCGAAGTGCCCGTCCAGGAAAATCTGCAGGCCAACAAGTGAGCAAAGCCCGCTACATGCAGATTAGGAGTTACATTGACCTCGTTGCTCTGCAAGCCATGCTTGGTGGCGGGGGGGGGGGCGGAAAGCGGACTGATGCCTGCAGGTTGAACAAAATGCAGAGTTTTGGACATGAGACCGCATGTGGGATCGAAGTCCACCTCGTGCCAGTAGTGCGTTGTAGCCCACAGGCCCTCGTATTCATTCAGGCTGCTCAGACGATTGTTTGCATCTCCATCGGTCCCATGGTAGAAGCCCATAGTCGGCCCATAGTAGAAGCAAATCAAAGCTAGTGCAAAGCTTCCAGCAGCCGGACCCGAACTTCCTGTGAGTGAAACTCCTCTTGCATCTCCTTTGGCAGCAACTCCCGAAATCATGCTTGTTGCAAGGAAAGAGAATGCTTCTTCACAGGAAGAGGGGATCAGTACAAGCTTGGCCAAGGTTACTTCTTCAAATTTAACACAAGGTCAGCCGCCACCTTTAGGGGGCCTACGACTCCCATGACTTGTTTGCCTCTTGTCAATAGTACAGGTTTCTGCTGTCATCGGGGGAAGGGCTCACAGCTGCAGTGGTGCCCTCAGCTTTCCAAAGTCTAAACTAAACATGGTCTCCAAACAAGGGCGTGAAATCGAACCGGGGCTGCCAAACTACATGAAAAAGGGTCGCTTCAAAATAATGGAGAACGCTTTTGGTGCCTAGTAAAACTTCATGAAGCGGACCCATGGAATGTCCCAAGTGGATCTGCTAAGAAAGCTACGATCCTTTTTCCCGCTCGCACGACTGACGTACCAACATGCCACAGCAAGCTTACAGTAGCATATTCAAACGAAGCAGATTCGACATGTACTTCCGGCTTTACCCGCCGCGCAGTTCAAACGCTGCGTGTTCAGGGCCCAAATTTTGTTACATGCACCCCCTTTGATAGGTGTGAAGGAAATTGTCACTGAAGAATACTAGGCCAACAGGTTGCAGGCTTCGTCTCGCAAATGGACACGATGCAGACGCTCAGTCCGACTACCATTCCTACTTACCATGGACGCACATCTCAAAACCGAGCAATCCAGCATGAAACACAATTCCCCACCAAAGGAAGGGCTTCATGGGCTTCCAGGCTGCGAAGCTAGACCCTTTCTTTTGGCAAGCCTTGAGCAGAGTTTGACAGCATCTGGCGAGGCCGATAACAGGGAGATGAGAACTGCAGCGGGGCCAATCCCAGCATGAGGGCCTTCCACAACCATGTGTGTGTGTGTGCTGGCAGTGTGTTAGGCTTGTGTGAGGTCGAAGTGCTGCATCGGATCCCGTGAGAAGATGTTGGAAAAGAGGTAAGCTCAGCTTCAGCAGTTTCAGATACATTCTTCAAACATTCAAGAAGCTCAAGCCCAAACATCAAACTTTGCTGGCAGGGCCCTTATGTTGAGATGGTCCTCAGTGGCTTTGAAGCGCTCAAAATGGCAAGCCACGCAAGGCGCGTGACACGCAAGGCAACACGTCCGTTGACATCCTGTAATGTTGTGCTTGTGTTCTTGAAGAGATCGTCTTTACTTCTTCTCTGCGATTAAAGAGTTTCAGGCTAGTGCTTTAAGATCCTCTTCGGATGTTGCGATTCAGAAGTCCTGTGACTACACAATGCAAGAGCTTGCAGTTGCTTCTTGCAGGCGGCATAAAGAACAGCCAGCCTGAAATGCATGGCTGCTATGCTAGTGCTGCAAGCTAGTTGTTTTGAGGGATTTTGAACATGTCTGCCTGCAGTGCCACCGCCTCTCAAATTGGCAGGGGTCGAAATGCCCACCGCTCAGGAGTATACCCTCATCCATCTGCATCTGGCATCATCTGCACTTTAGCTCGTTACACGGTACACACCGTACTTCAGTGTTCGCTTGAAGCTGCTGCTCCGAGGCAACAGATTGCTGCATAATAGGGTCCCGTCCATGATAGAGGAAACAGAGACACTCCCAGTTCCTCCCTACCAAGACAAAACTGAACTCCTACATGAGAGGTCATCATGTTCAGTGCTGCCCACACGATTAGAAGGTAGATGGCCTTGATGCTATCAGGCTGAATGCGTTGTGCAGATGGGCCAAGAGAGGTACCACAGTAATCATTTGAGCTTCTCCAGCTCACTTAGTAATCCATCGCTTGCCCTCTCCGTACTCGCTCTTGATGCGCCTGCATTGTCAGGGAAGCTGGGGCCAAGCATCAAAGAGGATCAGGCCTGGCTAAGCATCGAGAAAGCAATGGAAGAGTTAGTGTAATTGGGCTATGGGCTTTAGATGTCTTCAAATGGCTTAGCCTAGCCGGCTTTATGAGGGGCTTTTCCCTGTAGCAACAGAGGTTTCCTCGATGGTTGGCTTCAGGCAGCGCCAAGCTGACGATGTAAAGGTTGCATTGCAACTACATGTTTTGCCCTTCATAGCCACAGCTGACATCAGTTCCACCATCCTGAAGCCTCAAGAAACAAATCCATGAAGAACGCCAACCATTCAGCCCGGAGAAATGCTTTTACGGTCTCTCACTCATAGTCTTTCCTGGATCTTCCATTGAACCGCTACGGCATCCTAAACCTGGAACCACTTGACGTCGCCATGCCACATCCAAAACCTTCATTCCAGAACTGAGCAAACCAAGCAAATGCCTTCGCACAACAGTGGCGGTGTTGGTGGCTTTCTTGAGCTCTGGACTGGTCCAAGGGCGGCCCATCCTCAGCATGACAATTCGGTCGAGGCGTGGCCTTCTCAAGAGCTTGAGGAGATTTGAGGAGTGTCGAGCAGTATTTTGAGTTGCTGGTCTACTGTGCGTGTGCCTGCAACTTTGGCAGTAAATGTGACTGTTGTACAGTGCTGCTCTGCATGCTACTGCACATCTACTATTTATCTTATCGGAACGAGGTACCGTAACTATTCCTCGTTACAATAGCTGCTCCTCTCCTCTCCTCCACGGCTGCCGCTGCTGCTACTGCCTGCTGGTCCCCCTCCAATGGCAGCAGCAATAGACATGCTCATGGAAACACTGCTACAGGGCATGCTGGATGATCAATCCAGGAATGTCGTGCTGATCCTTCAATGACGCTGCATGCATGCTAGGGTGAGCACGGCAAAAAAGGAGCGCTGGAACTACAAGAGACTGGTACACTACAGGTTTACTTTTGGATGTGTAACGCAGGCTCTGAGAATCAGCCATCCTGTTGAGCTCTTTTTTGGTGGCCAGGCACTCATCCAGGAGGCTGCGTCCGCTGTCGAATCCCGCGCTTTCGCCGCCCAGATCCAGCTTCCTTCCGCAGGACACTCTTCCCGATGATAGTGATTGTACAGCTGAGGCAAATCATTATGCTTCCTGCAGCTAATCTCAAACTGTTTTTGGTTCTGGCCTATGCAGAACATATTGCAGAAGTCTGCTCAGTCCACTCACAAGGTCGGATCAAGGTCTCAGGCTGGGGGGCAGGGTCCAGTCTCACAATCTGAGCTCAAGCTTCATCTACTGTCAGGATTTGGCACTGCCACGGCCACATGAGTGGACAGGATTCAGTCTGCACATGTTGTGGGCCTTGAAGGCCTTCCCGGATGCAGCTGGAGAAAAAATGAGTCGGAAGCCAGAGACATTGAAAGCTTAGCATACTGGTCATTGAAACCAGACTTTCTCGCCGGCACACACGTAGACCAGCATCCCGAAAAACCTTGACCTTCAGGTTCCACCCTAGATCTTGGCAGACCTTAATCGCAGGCAGGCAGAGGGGGAGGGAGGTAGAGACAGAGAGATGCAAGCAAAGAGAGCCAGAGAGAGAGAGAGAGAGAGATAGATAGGGTCAGAAAGGGACGGTGTCTGTGGCTTTTAACCCTGCATCTGAATATCTGCACCAGGGTGCTCATGCTTGAACTACTTAATGCTGAGTTCAACACGCAACGGCCTGCCCAGAATGTCGAGCTTGCCCTCATACTGGACACCCAGCTGCACACGCGGCTTCTCACCCCAGTCCTCACCTTCAACAAAGAATTGAGCAGATCACAATTCCCTTGCACTTTCGGGTTTCCCTTAAGACGAAAGAACTTACCCCTCCGGAACGGTGTTCTGATTTACATTGCAGCGCTGTGGTTTCTGGACAGGGCCCCAGACACGAGTTTGTGGAAGGCGCCTTTTCATAGTCAGAGGTCAGTAAAGCTCAAGCAGCTTGCAACAGCTACACTTTCTGGTGCTGACGACGTGCCGCCTTTGTAGGCCTTGCCCGTCAGGCGGAGGTAACCTCAGCTTTGACATTGTAAGTGGCCCCCCAAGGAGTATATAGAAGGTTCGGAAGAATCCTACAAGCTCCGCGCAGTATGCTTCAAATGTGCTTCAGCGGCTTGTTGGACTTAGCTCCTATTTGGATGCTCCTACAGCCGGACCCCTCAGAATCAGCAGCTACTCGTGTACGCCAGCAACAACGGTGGCGGCAGATGGGTAATTGGTTTGCTGGCTACGGCGCCGTGTACAGCTCTGGCGTCCCGGAGAGCTCGGGTCGGCATAGGTCTTAAGATGTTGCAAAAATACCTGGGTGGTCCTCGAGCCTCGACAGAATTTGGAGTCAGAAGCGCAGCCCTTGTCAATCAAGGCAGGGGCCAGAAAACAGCCCACGAGGTGAAATGTATGGCGCTCTACTGAAAAGTCAAATCGACTTTTCTCTGGCGGAAAAGCAGGATGATGGAGCTTGATTTGCCATTACTGTCATACTCCTGAAGCCTGAAGCCTGAAGCCACAAGATGCAACCCTCACTTTATGAGCCGATCCCGACACAACCTTGACGTCAAGCCCATGCAAGCGTGAATAATAAGGTTGGGAAAAAGGCGGAATCTGCTGAAACTCATTTCTGGTTTGCTCAAGCTGCTTGATGCCTGACTTGTAGTTTCGAACCTCCATTTCATTGAAAGCATGGTCGTGCACGACGTCTGACACAAAGCAACAAGCCTGAAGGATTGGATTGATTAGCATCCGGGCACATATGATATTTGCAGGTTGAAAATGACTGTTCTAGTTATACAAAGCGGTTTTGGAAAAAAAAGAAAGTCAGTTTCCACAGTCCCTACCTGCTGTCATTACAATTTGGGTGTGTGATTGCGGCCTTTTGCTCGTGTATAGGGCACGTGAGCTCATGTATGCACGAAATAATGCAACGCAATCCTTCCTCTTGACAGCCTTGTGTGAAAGCTTTTTCCACACTGCCGAATTCTGCACCTCGCGGCAGCAGAGTTGTAAAGCTTGCTGGCCAACTCAAACTATGGTGAGGCCATCTTACAATGCTCTATTTTGTGGAACCATGAGCGCAACAACCGACCTGGGATTGCTGGCAGGTGTATCTATTGAGAATTCATACCGGCAGCCCTAGGTAGAAAATATTAGAAAATGCTATACTAAGCTGACACGCTAATTCCTCCAGAGTCCTTGTGTGTGCAAAGCCCCAAGGATTCCGAATCGACATTGCAAAAAGGCAGGAAGCCTTTCGCAAACAGTGAGTTCTTGCGGGCTGAAGAAGGAATGCCAGCTGATGACTGCCAATGTGTCCCATATCGTTAAATTCTGAGCCAGCGACTTCCGTCGCCGAAGTCGACGCGAGGAGAACTGGCGGGTTGATTCATTTAGCCATGTATCAGATGTCTCGGTTCAAATTCAGACGGAATCAGGCTCCTCTGTCACAGAAACCAGAAGTTTGAGTTATCCTTTCACATCCTTCCGACAGTGAGGTGAGACTGGCCTGATCTGCGCGGCCTGCTTCACCTTGGATCCGGAGGATCTCATCTCGTAGCGAGCCTGCGTTGCGCAAGGCTTTGAGCGATTCAGGGCTTGAAGCCCAGCAGAAGTCCTGAAGCAAAGCAAGGGAAATGCCTTAAAGACCTTGCTTAGGAGATCCCTTTGTTTTCGCGAACTCTACAGGACTCAGGGACAGGATCAAGACAGGGTCCAGGGTTTAGCAGTAAAGTGGCAAACGGTCTGAAGCCAATCCCAATCCCAAGACCACAAACACAAACCTGCATGAATCGTGCATTCCCTGGCCACGCTCATACTTGTGGGCACTACACTGCGAATGTGGACTGCAGGACACTAAACCCACATGATCTTAAACGTCATTATACACAAATGATGCACAGATTCTGGATCCAGAGGGTTGACAGAAAGTCCAGTCTTCAGGAACACAAGTACTTCACGGACTATCCGCACAATGACTTCACACCGTGAACTCGCCAATTCTTGTTGTATGTCTGCTTCGAAGGCGCATCCACGCCCCGAAGCTTGGTGGCAGTCACCCTGGCAAGGCATCAGTCATGGCTCCATTCAAGGGTGGCTTCATGGTTCAAATCTCCTGTGTCAGCTTCAAGGCTCGGAATATTTGGAATTTGGAGCTTGGAAATCAGGACCCACGAAACGCCTTACTATCATAGCCACCGGGTGGCGAGAGCCACAAAGTCGTCGGACAAAATGGAACACCAGTATCGACCCGTTGACTTCACATGGGATTAGTCAAGTTGCGTCGTCCGAGGCTAGACAGACAAACGTCAATGGAGAACTACAGTGTTGACACTCCATCACTTCCGTGCTGTCACACTTGGTATGCAAAGCGATCACGGAGGAGCCTCTCATCTGCCACTTCGATGAAAGTCTCCACCCTGAAGCTGTGACCCTGCTACAAAACCGAATCCAGCGCACAAAACATAAGCCGCTTCACAATAGCCACGGCAAATCCACACCTAGACACCGTTGGCACCTGAACCCCAAACCTCGTCTTCTTGACGTAGCGCCAAAAAATGCGAGGCTGGAGGTCACAAACATGCTTCCTGACCTCCACGTGTAGAGGCCAGGAACAACGCGGAAAGGCTGATAAAGCGTGAACCGAAAACGATCTCTCAAGTTAAGCCGATCCTCAAACCTGGGCTGCAGCTGTAATCATAGTCACTATAGTCGCTGTGGTGAACTGTGCGCCTTTCCAAGCCATAATCCCTCGACTACGAAAGCGCCGCACCCACAGAGTTGACAACCGGCCTGACACTGCTGGAGACTTCTCCCTCATCATCTGCTGAGGCAATGCCGACGGCCTGCAGCTCTGGGACCTGCAGGACTTTTGCATTTGAAATGCGGAGCTCAGGGTGAATGTTTTGCAGGTACTTTTCATTCAGAGCCAGGATGGTGCTTGTGTGCATTGGTGGTGCAGTGCCAAAAGGTGATGAAACTTGCAAACCTACCCTGGTGCTTGGGCCTCATAAGTAATTAAGGGTGGACGTTGTCACAAAGCGTTCCTTCTATTGCTATGTAATATGTGTGCATTTGCTGCAATTGTTTTCGGGGATTCCTTCTTGTGGCCTTTTTTGGCGTCAGTGTCATGGCGGCAGCCACAGCGGGTCGCGAAGCACCGAACTTGTAGCGGCTGCGGAGGGCCACGGTCCTGGGCTTAACTACACGGACACCTAAACGGTTTTTTTCAAACTTTTCGGACTTTTATGTCTGCTCACAGAGCACGAGGTTCCAGCTTAGGATTTATGCTCTAGGGTTTCAAGGGTTCATGCCATGTCGCAGCTATGCTTGGTGGGCGCGGCTGCTGGGGGAGACTGACGCTCTTGCAGTTTAATTAATTCCGGTTGACTTGATGCGAGGCTATGTGAAGCAAGAAGCCCACACAGGACCTGGAGTGGGATACAATCCCTGATTGTGCGGGCAGCAATCTGCCCCTGTACGTTGTAAAACGTTGTAAAAAACGAGGAATTCAAGAAACCAAAGTCAGCGGGGGCCCCTCAACATACCTAACACCTCAACCCTCAGCCACACCAGGCCAAAGAACGATCCCTCTGCCGCAATCTTCGGCGCAAGCGCTCCGACGTCGATGGTGGCACCTAAGCCGTCAACCAGAATTGAAACGAACATTTAGCGGACAAAGGCCTTCATACATCTCTTTTATCATTCAAAATTCAATTGTTGCGGAAGTCCTAAGTTCTCTGGCAGTGCGGATTTGCCTTGGAAAGCCTCTAAGGTTCACGCATGGCTTACGATCTCATGCTGCTGAGTTGGGGGGGGGGGGGTTGGTGGACGTTGGTCATGAAGAATTCAACGTGAACATCTGCGAAAAGCAAGTTGCATCGTGCATGCTTTCGGTGCGTCAGTACTGGGACTTAAAAGAACTGCCTAGCAGGCCGGATTTCACATTACCCAGACACTTTAAGCCTGAAAATCGCAGAGCATAGTTACCAAGCTGACCTGTGACACAACCACAAATGCAATTTCCCCTTTCAGCACTTGTTGTCTCGCTCGCTGGGAGCAACTGGTGCCACGAGGAGTCTACTGCAATGCAGCAAAAGACTATGCATCCTGGGGCATGACATCATCTTGCAGGTGACTCACCACAGAAGAAAATTTGGTTCTCGCACCCGTGCTGCATGACCCTACACTGCGCTCGAAGCTTGACCCAAACAGCTCTTTTTGGACGGTCCTCTTTTCTCCACATTGCTCTATTGCGGCCCGTGCCAGGGGAAGGAGCCGCAAGGCGAGCTGCCACTGAGCACCTTTCCTCATGGTTGCTGATCAATGAACCCAGACCACAGGAGCTCGTGCTTGCGGCGAAGCTGCAGGCCAGAGCGATTCTGGGGTTGTAAGCGTGACGGTCGATCAAGGCGCGGTTAGAGATGGAAGAAAATCTCTTGATTCATGGTTCTGGCGCAGGTAGGTAGGTGTGTAGCAAGTATCAACGAGGCTGACCTTGCAAGCTATCACAATGCTACATGGGCTTCTGACGCAGAAGCTGGGTTCTTAGCATGTAAGAATGTGGGCATTTTCTAGGCTAAATACGGATTGCACATGGCCGAAAACGGAGCTTCTGAGTTGAGAACAGGTTGGGCATGGTTGGGCTTTCCAGGTTCGGCAAAAAACACCTACTTGTTTTCGGGATCGGAATGGTTTAGGTACGCGTTAACATCATGAACTCAATGCAGAACAATCCTTTCCCAATCAACACCGTGTTTCCTCCTGTTCTTCCACCGGCAACAGCGGTCATGCTACAGACACGCATGGGGCAAACCATTCATACACTTGCATGTCCAATGCCCGGGCTCAGGAACTTGGGGCAATACCGAATTACGACTCAATCCTGACACATCGGAAGGAAACAAGTTTGGGACATTCAACCACGCCTCAGCTATCCTGAGCTACCGTACGCCATGCCAGGCTACATAGTCTCAAACCAAACGAACTTCTGCTGTCTCATGCCTAGTTCCGCAAGCTCTCCAGAAGCCCGCCCAAGAGCACAATAGATGTAAACAGCTGACCATGTAGACTTTCGGGCAGGTCTCAAAACTGTGTTGCTGTTGTTGGGATCCTTGAAGTTCCTTGTCTGTCGGTGACAATGGAAACACAACGCAGTGCAATTCCAAAGCTCTCGCAGGAACTGATTGTGGCGCAGAAGCTCATGTCATCCTGGGCGCTTGTGATGAACTAGCCCTGTCAGTCCACTGAGGGATGCTCATGCCAACTGGCTTGACTGGTCTGGGACGAAGCAGCAGCATAGCCACATCCCAACTGTTTACCCAGCACAACTTAACCTATATGGTGCAGAAGGTTAGCCCAATATACCGAATTCCACTTGGTTGTATGAGCCTGCCCCAGGCTTCTACGGTAGGGATCTGGAGCAAGCTTGAATGATGTGTTCAAAAAACTCTCAAGCAGCCAGCTGTATACGTTGATGGCCGTTCCAAAGCATCCCCCTGATTGATGTTCAGGCTAGGTGCAGGCGTGACAGAAGCATTCGGCATGGCGAGGAAAAGAGCCAAGCCCAACCTGAGCTTAGCCGAGCGGGTGGCGTGGCCTTTGAATGGGATGTTGGGATCTTGGGGGGGAAGCCGAGGACGTGAGAGTCGGAGCTTTACACAATTTACATCTGCGGCAGGGATGCTGGGAGAGGTGCGCCCCGTAAAAAGTGAAGCGCGAATCAGGGCCACTGAAGCTTCAGGTTTAGCGGATATGTGCTCAATGTAGCGCGGTGCATTGTGTATAGGACTACCTTGCCTTTTCTGCTGACGTCCAGGTGTTGTAAACTGGTTCTAGTTTCAGCTTCGGGGCTTCCAATTCAGCAAGCATCGAAGGTGCCCGTACGCTTTGTGAGTATCTGCGAAGAATCGGTAGAGTTCAATCGCCTGGTAGACTGCTTGAAGCTTTGCATCTAACTTGCGAAGGCTTGCGTGTTCGTTTGCGATTATTTTGTGCCTACTATCAGCGCTGTGAACCACAACCCACATGCAGCACGAAATGAGAGCTACTGAATGCTGCCTGTGCCAGAGTAATCATTGGTCTAGTAGACGCCGCAATCGAACTCCCAACTCCAGAGCCATAAAGAACTGTTAGCAGTTGCAGAAAAACTGTCTGAACTCTTCCCAACTTCCTACCCTCCAGCCCCTGTACCGCATTGTACTTACATTTCTAGTCGAATAGTCTCAACACTCCTCCTGCCTTTAGCATGGCAACTGTTAAGAAGCCGGTTTTAAATACTAAGCCCAGAAGTCATTCTCGAATATTGAAGGTACGAGTGCCATGAGTGACAAGATGCTGCCACTTTCCCCCCTTCTCGCAGGCGCTGATCGTGGCATTGTAGCTGTAGACCTCAGAGCTTACATAGGACGTGTAGACACAATCCCGGCACTGCGGCACATACGGACGTTCCGTACCAAGGATACTGAGGTAAGGCTAGTGACTTCCTGGATGTCAAGTGGACATATTGCCAAACCATGTACGTAGTGGTAAGTCCTGGGTGATGTGCGACACGGCTTGCTAAGATTGCTTCCAAGCGGCATCAGGCGTGACCTGCGAGCAGTAATAGCTTCTGAGAAGGAGTGGCAGCAAGGGCAACGGCTGCTCAGGAAGTTGTGGCCGTACACCTATCCAAATGCAACCTGCATCTCATTAAAGGACGTTTGCACCACCTGAAACTGAGCCCCTTAACTCCTGACCTTGGCAACGAGCATCGCTTGGAAAAGGTGGAGGCCCGACCTTCGACCAATTGGGGTCTGCAGCACTTAGAAGCAAGATGTCAGTGTATGTGTATCGGAGTTGTTGCCTAAAGCAAGCAGGTCTGCAAACCCAAATGTTGACGGCTTGGTGTCGAATGCATCGAACTTGTGGTCACAGGCCTGCTGTCCACAGCGCAGGGAAACTTTGAGCATCTTCTGGGTTTGCACTGTTGGTTCAGTGTTTGAGCCGGTAGATGCTGTGCGAGCTGTACATGCGTCAACAGCAGAGCAGTGGATCCCGGAAAGCTATGGGTCATAGTGTGAGCTTTGCAAGCGAGATGCTGCCATTGTCCAGCTTTTTCGCAGGAGCTGATTGCAGTGTTGTAGCCTGAGAATATATTGGTTCAAGCTTGTCATGCTTGTCTTGCCGTGCCTGCTTGCCATGCACACAAGACCCAAAGCAGCCAGCTTATGAGGGAAATGCACTGGCCCGTTCATGGTTGATGCCCTGGAAGTTTACCAAACGGTTATTGCAACCTGGAACCCTATCGAAGGCAAATTTAGACTTGCTTGATGTGGACGCCAATGCTTTCACAAAACAATTGAGGTACTTTCAGGGGTGGATGCTCATCTTGTTCCCATATGCTGGCCTTCTTATGTCAAAGCCTGGTAGTACTGTCTCAGTGCTCAATCGCAACATCGTGGATTAAGCGGCTTTGTCGGAGTCCCAGTTTTGCAGAGGAGACAAGCTGCTGCATGCGAGTTCGGAGAGCTCTGTGAAGTACCCCAGCCACTTACTCGAACTGAAGTGGTAACCATGACCTAATTCCGTTCGATGTTACGTGCTCTCCGCCAGATCACATGGTCTCCGAATTGCTTGAACAGAGCCACGCTTCTGATAAGGATTGAGCAGCATATCTGTCACTTGCAGAGAAATTACAGCCCTGAACTCTTGATGCCAGGATGCTTTGAGACTTCCTACGGGCGGCTCATTTGACTTGCTAGTTGCTTGGAGGAGCTGAAGGCATCTGGCCGGCAGTGATCGCACACCATGTCTTGCAGTAGTTGAAGAGACAGCTGCCACTGACCCGCCTCTAGTATCAAGGGGTTACCGGATTGAGGGCGCTTCGTGCCTAGATCTGAGGCCCTTTTCTGAACGTGACCAGACAGCGCAATTCTACCCTCGGCTGGAGTGTAGCGTTGAAGCTGGTGCACGACATGCACTGGCGACATGGGCCGAGCATTGTCAAGAGGGACCCGCATTGCGCAGCCCACTACTGTACGCAGACCAGATCCCATTTTCTCTATCCCATCCTTCTCCAGCACGCTGTTGGTGGCATTGTACATGATGACCTTTACTCAGAAAAAATGTGCCCAACGCAACGCTTCAGAAGCGTGAGCGATATGGCCTTATTAGTATTTCCTGTCATCATGAGCTTCGAAGACACGCACACAGGCAAACCTTCTGCGGCAATCCAATTGTAGATTGAAATTGTGTGACAGCTAGGCCAAGATTTGTCTTCCGATGAGAGATTCCGTGAAGCAGTCAGTACTATGCACAGCTGCATTCCCCTGTTCAATTTCAGGGAAAGTTGAAATTGGAATTCACCTGAATCCTTTGAGACTCAAGGCTATCTTGGACATCTCAAGCCGTTAAATCCCAAACCCGGACCAAGGCGCATTGGGCACAAAGCTCTGTTGCTGCAGGTCTTCAAGCAGCCTGTGCAAAAAGAACTGCTCCGGGCTCCAACTCGTTCCCGCAAAATTTAATCCCCAGTTCACTGCAGACTATTGGCCAGCACTTACTTTCCTCATACAATGAGATGCTTACACGATTTGCGTCTTGTTTAATTGAAATAACTGAGAAGCTTGCGGCTTGCGACTTTTACGCAGGGTTTTTTACCCGCAGTGTCGCGGGCTACTGTGCAAACG